CCCAATCTTCGCCTCCACGCCAAAGTCTCCCTCTCCTCTGCCACTTCAAGTACAACCTCTGCCTCTGCCTCTGGAAAGTCTTTCAAATTATTTTAACCTCTGATTTCTGCTTTTCTAGTTTCTTAAAGTAACTATTAAGCTCTTGACTCTATACAGCCTTATCTTTTTCACTGATTGTTTCACCTCTTCAGTACTGTTGTCATCTTGGCCAGTATAGGTAAGACCATGAGTTCTAGTCTTTGTGGAGCTTCCAAGAGCCTCAGGATCCCTGCACACAGTGAAATGATGCATTAATGAAATGATTACTGCTTCCACATTTAGTTGAGGAAACAAAACACATATACATAAATAGTGAAAAATCAGTGCAAGTAAATGCTTTAGGAGCTCAGAGACTGTCGGGTAGCTGGGGAAGTCATTCATTTAATCGATTCATTCAATAAGCATTGATCAGTCACTTATCATGTGCCAGGCACTGTGTTGAGTAATGGAAGATAATATTTTATATTTGAATAGGATGATATTTGAACAAGGTTTAAAGAGTGAGTAGAATTTATGTAGCCAGAAAAAAAGTAAGAATCCTGTGAAAAGAAGAATGTGCAAAAATGAGATATGAAAATAGACCAGATTGGCTTATGGAGAAGATTTCCGTAACATCAAAAAAGATCTATATATACTGGCATGAAAAGATGTTCTAGATATGCTAAGTGGAAAAAGCAAGTTGCAGTGAAGTGTTCTTAATATAATTTCATTTTTTTTGCAAACATATGTCAATATATGTGGCTAAAAGAAGACAAGGAATATATACAGAACTAGGGGCAATCTCTAGGGGCTAAAATGGTATGTGCGTATGTGCGGGGTCTCATTATAAACTTTCATAAGTTAAAATTTTTTTCCAGTTAAGTACGTATTACTTCTGTAATGGGGGAGGGGGGACGCAGAGGGAGAAAAAGCTAAGATAAAAATAAACAAATATTTTAAATAAATAAGCTAGGGAGTTTGGACCTAACTTGGTACGCAAAGTGAGCCAAGTGTAAATATTGGGAAAGCCTTAAAGGCTTTTGAGAACATTTCGTAAATATTCCAATAGACTATGATAGTCCTGAGCAAATATCTTCTGCTGGAATAGCATTTCTCCCAGCAGGCGGGGTGGGGGCTGTGGGGGGTGTCTGCATACTTGCCCAGTGGTCTGCTGGCCTCCTGCAGAACCTAGGGCCCTGAGTCTGGGAAGTGTTGCTTTTGCCTGATAGATTAACAACCCTCTTCATTGTGGAGGGAATTACAAGGGACTTCAGAACAAATAAAACAAAACAACAGAAATCTTTGGATATAATCTGTTTTCTTTCCTCATTCTCTTGGTAGTTTAGCTGTAATTCCGAAAACAAAGCAGAGAGAGAAGAAGGAAGAGGGAGAGAGTGAAGGAGAAAGGTCTGTCCTCAAATGGGCCTTCCATCCCCAACAGATTTTCTTTTCCAAAACAGCAGGGTGAGAGGCTGATAAACTGTGAGTCACTGTAGTTCAAATCTGTAAAACCAATTAGCTAATTCAGTTGAGTAATCCAAGGGGAAAAAGATAAGAAATGCAAAATAAAACCACCGTGTTTTACCCCAGCCAGACACAGTCAGCTGCTCCCTTGGGAGACAGAGTAGTTTTCCTGTCTCCACTGGGCTGACCGGGCTTGCACAAGATAGAAGCCGCCTTCAGCCAGCCCTGAGCTTCCCTTCCTCTCTGGGTCCTGTGCCCTGCCTCCTAAAGGCCAGCAGTAGGGGTCTTCCCACTCCCCTTTAGAGAACCAGCAAGGTGGAAACCCATGCCACAGCCTTCCATTTTGCTCCATTTCTTTAGGAATGGATTGAGAGGAGGCCCAGAATTGAAAGTCTATAACCTATCACCTACAAGAGTAAGTTCTAGACCAGAAGTTCACAAACTGCAATTGCTGCTGGCCTTGAAGATGGAGGAAGGGGCCATGAGACAAGGAATGCAGTTGTCTTCTAGAAAGATAAGGCAATGGATTCTCCCCTAGAACCTCCAAAAGGAACACAGTTCTTCTGATACCCTGATTTTAGGGCTTTCCGACCTCCACAAATGTAAGATAACAAATTTGTGTTGTTTTACAGCAGTGAATTTGCAGTGATTTGTTAACACAGCAGTATGAAACTAATATCCCCCCTTTACTGTAGTTGGCTGAGAGTCTTGTAGCTGAAAAAGGGGTTCTATAGTAAATCTAACCAAAAGTAACCTCACAGGGTGATCTGATTATAAATTCCTAACTGGCAGGTCATTGTGGGTAGCCATACCCCAGGCATATAACTTCTCTAGTGAAAGGTTATCTTTGCCTTAAGCAAGCCCTGTCCATTGTTGCCGGCATGAAGACTAACATACCTTTGAAATGCCACAAGTAATTCTCTTTTCCAAACCCCTAGAAGGCATAACCACCCTCAAAGGAGCACGTAATTTTGTTAACTATCCTGTATATTGCTTTCTCCACCTTTATGTAATCTCTTTACCTTCCCTCCTTAATTCCAAATGTATTTTTAAAAACTGCAAAACTATCCTTTTCTGGAGCATTTGAGATCTTTCTTCCCAGCAATTGTTTGGCTCAAATAGACTCATAAAAATTCCCTACAGGTTTGAAGGTTCTTAACATTGATACTCTCGACCACTGAAACATCTATATCTGACTGAAGGTTAAGTAGGTCAGTGACATTTGACCCTTTCATCAAACCCAACTAAGAAGTTTTGTTGCATTGATCATACAGACTTCTAGTAAAATAAAATAGCACTACAGTTACACCTGCAGCTCCAATTCCCAAACTGCCAACCACAGATACAGAACCACTTGATATTCAAATGGGGGCTCAACCACCATTTGACCTTCTAGGGTATATCAAAGAGAATCTTTAATTTAAATAAAAAATAATTATATATTTTTTATTATTACCAAAGTAATACAAACAAAAACATTAGGAAATACAGAGAAAAAAACCAGCAACAACAAATATCACTCATGATTTCACCAAGAGGTAATAACCATTGCTAACACCCTGGTTCTCTTTCCAGGTCTTTTAAAATGACTGTATTGTGTACACAAATTTTTATATTATTCATTCTAAAATATATGTGCATTACTTTAAAATATTGATATAAACATCTTACCATGTCAACAAAATGCATTTGCAACAATACTCAGAATGTAATCCGGGGACCCTGGGCATCCCAAGGCCTTTTCAGGGGGCGGTTCATGAGGTCCAAACTATTTTTATTTTAATAATAATACATTATTTTTTTCCCATTCTTTTAACACGAATATGGAATAGTTTCCTAGAGGCTACATAATATATGATTGTTTGAATGCTGAAGCAGATATGAAAATCCAGCGACCTTCTATTAATTTTGACTTTAAAGAAACTAGCACAAATGTAAAAACAATGCCACTCTTCTCACCTTTTTTTTTGGAATATATACTTATTTTTCATAAAATGTTATTCATGTTACCATATAATGGAGTCTGTTTTAAATGAAATAATGACTATTTCTTAAATCTCTCTGTTTTAATTTAGAAAGTTTTGATAGATGTAGCACACATAACCGAAACCTCTTTGGAACTTTCAATAATTTTCAAGAGCATAAAGGGGTCCTGAGACCAAAAAATTTGAGAACCTCTGATCTACAATATTATTTTTAATAGATGATTTAGTCCATTGCACTGGAGTATCATAATTCATTCAACTAGTAAGTAATGCCTAAATAAGACCCTTAATTTGTGTACGCTCTCAATTATTTTACGATAATTTTCAGGGATTATTTTTTAAATGTATATTTATTTACTTATTGTACAAAAATGGACTAACATCAATAATACAATTCACGCCCCCCGCCCCCCAGCCAATCAATTTTTCCGTTCTTTCTGTTTCCTTCCAATCAACAAAGGGGCATGTAAAGCTTTTAAGATTCTTATTAGCTTAAGACTTCAGCACTAGGTAACCATTTCCAAGGGGAAAATACCTTGTGGGTCATCTAGTCCAATGGGTTCCAACTTAATCACGCTGGAATCTTTTAAAATAGCAAATGGGAAAGAACTCTGCAATTCTGTTACCTTTATCTATATGCTACCTGTTGGTGGAATGAATACATTTTTTTAAAATACAGGCCGAAACGAATGCTGGTGTCCTGCATGCTTGGGCAGCCCTCTCCTACCGAAGCTTGGGGTAGCGCCCTGAGGCCTTGTCTAGCTGTCTGTCCATCCTTTCCACAGGCCAGTGAGCTCCTTCTGGGCCAGCTCCTACGGAATCTCCTCCCTTCTATTTCCAATGCTAAGCACAGTGCCAGGCACTTACTAAGGGTGCCAGAAATTTTTGCACTGTTGAAAAAAGGCTCTATCCTTGGGGATTCTTATTCAGTCGGCCTGAGGCAGTTCCCAGAAATCTGTATTTTAATAAATCCCGCCTTCAATGTCAAATAACAAGGGTTCAGTGTCAGCTCTTCTGGGTAACGAGCTAGGCGATTCGACCACTCGGTGCCTCAGTCTTGCATCCCCAAAACGGGGCACATAGCTGCTTGTGAGGATTCGACGAGCTCATGCGCGTCACTTTCCCAGTTCCGTGACTCGCACTGATAAACCTAGAGACAGGGCCTAACAGGTGGGTCTGCTTGAGCCTGAGGTAGCCCCTCGCAAAGAAACCCGAGATGCGAGCGTGGGAAAGGACCGAGGAAAAGTGCGCGTGGGCGCTGGGGGTGGGGCCTCCGTGGGGGCCGCGCCGGGGGCGGAG